GCTGGCTGGGGTAGATAATACAGAGTAATGCAGGTGAGGATCCATCACTGTCAGGAGCACAGGCTCAATGGCTCTTCTAGATAGCAGACATTTGTCTCTCTTTCTTTTCTTTCTTTTTTGTTTCGTTTTTTTGTTGGAGGGTAACAGGTACACGAAAAAGGGTGACTTTGCTTATCCTTGAGCCACTTTGAATAAGCATTAACTACTATTTTATGGACTCTTTATTTTGTCCATCACTGAGACAAAATGGCACACTTCTGCTGGTTGTGAAGAAGTGCTCAGGAATAAATAAAGATAGCACTTTTCTTGTTTTTTTATTGAACTTTTACACAAGCTCCTGCAAATAAATATAAGCAACATGAACTGGGGTTAAATGATATATATTGTTGTTTTAGTTTCCAGGGTACAATCTATTTGCTGTCTGCTGAACTTGTGATGCCCATCAGCACTTCACAAAACCCACTTTGTGAAAACTAAGCTACCACTTTAACAAGAACTGCAGTGCTGCACTGGTAGTGGCTGCACACTGGCAGTTGGGGTTGGCATCAAATCTGAAACATTTGTTTTTTTTGGCAGCGTGAGCTCCAAACTGACACCAGCACATATCTAATTACTGCTCAAATTTGTATCCAAGTTGCACAAAGGGAAACATTTTCTGTGCAAGAACCTATTATCTGTTTACATATTCTGTATATGTGTATCTCTAAATATTATTCTGTAAGCAAAGGCGTGGTGTTTTTTGTTGTGTATTTGTCTACAGTAGCTGACCCGCAGTTTGTGAGTCCATGCTGAATCGCACTTTGCTTTAACTGGATGTAGACCCACTGAAACAGTTCATTAAGATGTGWTATTTCACCACATCCAATACCTCTTCTACGTTCAGCACACTTCAGAAAAAACGGCTAAGAGGATATTTGATACCTAGTTTATCATCTTCAAAACCGAAAAGCCTCCATATATGAGGCAACGTCATATGAGGTAACATCAAGGCAAGAAAAAAATCCTCTTTAATTATCTGAATGATTTGAATGTGGGTTTTTTTTAACACTTCAGACTTTTCTCCCTCGTGTTTAATTTTTCTCTCAATCACCCCACTGTGGTCTAAGATAATACTTTTTATGTTTTATTAATAAATCATAACAAGACACCCAGTAGAGTTTAGAAGAGTGGCATCAATGTGACATTACCCATAAACCAAACCCCACTGGATTCAACAGTCTGACTCCCAGACAAGCGTTTAGAGAACTTTCAGACACCTAAGAAGAGGTAGGCCCTTCAAAATCATTATTCTATTCAATGACTTTACCCTTGGAGAGATAACTGGAGCGATGCAAGCAGACACACCCTAAATCTGCAGAACCAGCACCACCAAAAGGTTTTACTGCGCTGGAGTTTTTACAATGTGTATAAAGCACACCGAAGTTTGGGACTAAATCACACAAACCTCTTGTTTTTTCCAAAATGCAGACAAAAGTTTTTTTATTCTTTTCTTGTTGGATTATAATCCCATGGATAAGAATTATAAAGACYCAGTATGTGCATTAGCAAAAGAAAGCATCAAAGAAAACCACACATTTTTAAAAAGATGTGAAACGCAACATAAATTCAGTAAATAGACAGCATGACCTCACTGGTGATCTTTTCCTCTTATCATCTAAATGTGTTGGTTTTGGCTGCCTGGATAGTTCAATGACTTCCCATCAATATGTTAGACACTTCTATCTAAAGAACACATGAACTGATAAGATCTGTGATCAAACCAGCAACCTTAAGATTTGAGCACATTTTTTAATGCCTAGGTTACTGCCACTAACAAACAGCTAAAACATTAAAGCAAATCATGTTGGTTATCTTTCTGATAATTCTACCCAAACACTGATGCACATCCAAAAAAAATTGCACCAGAATGTTGTAAAAAGTACTGCAACCTTATTCCCCCTTATCACATTTCTGCCTTATTTTTTTAGGTTACATCATTTATTTTGCCTCCGCATGCAAAGCGGGGGTCATATTGTCTGTTTTATTTATGATTTTTTATTTTACTTTTTTCAAGATTTTTGGTCAACTGTAGCACAGAAACGGCTGCACAAACGTGAAATTTGGTAGGAATGTAGATGTGTCTGACCTACACTGAACCAGCCAATGGTTTTACAATAGACCCCATATTTGAAGAGGGGGCTCCATCTCAAAAGGGGGTGTCTAGACATACAATAATGCTTATAACTCAAAAATTTTTCAACATAGGAGTTTCAGATTTTTTTTTGTTTAGCTCTGATGAAGGGCTATTCATCAGGCCCATCAATGAGCCCCCACCCCCAGATCCCCACCCAAAACAATAAATCTGTTCTGATGACTTCTGAGTTGCATACATATGGGGGTCAAATATGCTACCACTATGCAGTATCTGGTTGTAATTTGGTTAATGTAAGTATGATCCTTTCCAGATTTTTAATGCTCGGACCACATTTAGCTTGAGTTACAAACTATTACAGTAACTATTCAATACTGTATGTGTTGTAAATGCTATTTTATTTTATATGATATTTAAGGTGTATTAGTTTCTTTTTTTGGAGCTAAAAAAGGCAAAATTACAATGATTGTTTCCCTCACAAGTCTAAATAAAAAAATGATATTTGACAGTAAAATAAGTAATTTTACACACCAATTTTTTTTCCCAAAGTATAATAGTTAGCACACAATATTACAATTGCCTTCTGCCTCCTTGTGATTGTGCTATTTTATTCCCAGTTGGGCCTTAAACTACCAACAAAATGAATATCTCCAGGTAATGTTAGACATAGAGTGAGTAAAATTGAATTTACCACCAGAAAGAAGATGGTTGGATAAATATTAACATGCTTACAATAAAGAAAAGAAAAGAAAAGAAGAAGATGAAAGCACCATCTCTTTTTACCGAGTGAGACATGATGTGTCTGTGCTGTGTCCGAGTGCAGGAGCTCATCGGCTTGTCATGTTGGATCAAACTGAACTCTCTTCGTATCTCCCAATGAGCACACTGTTGCATGCCTCATTCATCGCCCACTCACACTGCCCGGCGACTCTTTAATCCTCTGACCTTTTTTTTCTATATGAATGCTTCAAATGAGTCTTTAAGCAAAATTAACAGACATATTATTCTTTTTAATCCTTTAAATGACACATTAAAGACGAGCTTGTCACAAAACTGGAAAAACCACACTTTTCTTTGAGTCCATTTAGAGGAACTGACATAAAATCTTTCTGGACGACTGTTCTGGCCTAAAGAAGAGAACTTCCATTCCCACAAAACATTGAAGCTGAATTGAATGCTCAGTGCATCATAAAGAAGAGCTGCACGCATGACTGCAACATGAAAAATTGCTATTGATTTGAACATTCATGCAGAATCTTATTATAATAAGAGCACAACATCAATGTATGGAGTTACCTTGGGCATAATGCTTATCCCTGGAATAGACAACATTATCAGATTGTCATGGTCACATGAATTACTTTACTTTCTCCAGAGTGAAAAGGTCTCAAGTAAGAGGTTGCATCCTGCTTTTTTCTGCCAATCACCTTTTTATGCATTGGTGAAAAACCACCAGAGAGCTGGGGCATAAAAACTGTTCATTTTGTGTTATTTCACCTACATTATGGTCTCGCAATGGTTCAGGGATCATGCTGACTAAGAGAAAGCCGTTCGTTCTAATCAATATTTATGACAATATTATTTCA